ACAGGGAGGTTGAACCAAACAGATCTGCATGAAAGATGGTAGGAAAATGACAACTAGAGCCAAAGGCTGTGCTAAAGAGATCAAGCACTAGGCAGCTTCAGCCAATAGAGGAAGATGAAATTTAGGGTCAGTGTTATCCAACATTCTGATTTTTCAAAACAATCCAACAATCTGCACTTTTATGGGACAGATACTAATGTTTGAAACAAAGGGCCAAATGAAACATACCTGCTGGACAAATTCAATGTGTGACCTCTATCTTTGGAATCCCCATTCCATTCCATCCCTGCTACCTTGATTCAGACCTTAACATTTCTTACACAGTTTTAAGGCAGAAGCATCCTAAAGGTCTCCAGAGCACGCTGCCAGGGTGAGCTCCCAAAATTTAAATCTGATCCTGTTTAAAAGCCTGGCAGGGCACAGTGATGCATGCCTGTACAGGTCCCAGCACTCAGGCAGCTGAGGCAGGAGGATGGCCACAACTTCAGCCCAGCCTGGATTACACAGCGAGTTCAAGGCCATTCTGAACTACAAAGCCAGAACTTGGGAAGAAAGGAAAGAAAGGAAAGAAAGGAAAGAAAGGAAAGAAAGGAAAGAAAGGAAGGAAGGAAAGAAAGGAAAGAAAGGAAAGAAAGGAAAGAAAGGAAAGAAAGGAAGAAAGGAAGAAAGAAAGAAAGAAAGAAAGAAAGAAAGAAAGAAAGAAAGAAAGAAAGAAAGAAAGAAAGAAAGAAAGGAGGGAGGGAGGGAAGAAAGGAAGGAAGGAAGGAAGGAAGGAAGGAAGGAAAGAAAGAAAAAGAAAAAAAGCCTGCAATAGCCCCCCTACAAAACCTTTTGCACTAGAAAGTGCCATAAAACTACATAAGACACTTAACATGCAGGTAAGAGCAGGCAATTCAATATTAAATCACCCAGAAAAGGCCTAGGGCAGTGATGGTGAACCTTTTAGAGCTTTCAATGATAACAAACAGCATCCCATAGGTTTGCCACCACTGACCTAGGAAATGCTAACCAATCTCCCCCGTGATTCTGACACCAACAGTCCTTGTCCCACAGAAACACTGTTGAACAGGGCAAAATCCAGGGCCTCTGCCAGGACTCCACCTCCCTCTCGTTTCCTGTCTTATTACTCCCCAATTACAACTGAACATGTCATCTAACTTCACGTGGTTCCCAGAAAATCTCTCTGGCCTCCGCCTTTGTACTGCTCTCTTCTGTGGCACCTTTTTCTCCCTTTTCTCCTGGTAACATTCAGCCTTCATCTCTCCACACAACTGCGCCTTCACCTCCATCATCTAGGAAGACGTTCTCAGCTCTAAGCCTTCCTCCAACCAGAGCTCCTGGAAGCTGCTTGGGCTCTTCAAAGCACCCAGCACTGACTATTTATAACTGTTTATTTACATGTCCATATGCCACCAAACTGGGTTCTTTGAAGTCAGGAATTTCAGCCTAGCTTAACTTGGCAGTACCTGACAGAGAGGCCCCCTCCTAAATGCTTGCCTAATAAACACAATCGAACTGTGTGAACCAGTAAAGTAGAAGGCCAGTAAAGTAGCACAGCCATCAAGATGCAAACAGCCTCTCTTTACAACCTCTTGGAAGTGTTTTTGTTTTGTTTTTTTTCCTGGTACTGGGGATGAACTCGGGTCCTTGCACTTGCAGGAGGCCACGGAACCACTGAGCTAAATCCCCGGCCCTCTCTTTACAATTTCTTAATGGTAACACTAATAAATTCACAATTATCAAGATTCCCGTAATCAGACTGCAGTTGACAGCCAAGTTAATTAATTACCAAAATAGCAGAAACCAACTCATCCTGATATTATATTCTTTTTTTAGGTTTAGTTTATTAGTACATGTATGTGACACAATGTTTACATCCCTTGTGGGAAGGCGATACATGTACATAACACATCTTAATTCCTTTTTTTATCCCTTATCCCTTCCTGTCCTCCCTCCCCTCACCTCCTGACCCCTTCCTCTCTGAGAACAATCTACTTACTACTACCTATCTTTTACTTTGTTCTTATTCTTGTAACCAAGTCAACAACAGTAGTTCACACAGCATTTCCTCTCAGAAGCAAAATGATACAATTGGAAACTGCTGCTACACTATCAAATACAATACACGCCTTCCCCATCTGGGATTAGACAACCCACACAGCAGTTTTGCCCTTAAGTGGGAAAATCCCTCAACTACAACACCCAGACAGAAGGACGGGTGCAGGGGAAAGATGACAGCCCTAAGGGTGAAATCCCTCAACATAACTAACTGTCTGAAGTTATACTGTTAAGAAACAGAATAATTGCAGTGGTAGTCAACTATTCAAAATGCAAAAGTATCCTCCTGATATCCTTTTACCAAACTTCCAAAGTGGTTTATATTCTTTTCCATTTTCAATCCTTCAACATTCCCTGGGCACCTGCTGTTCGTGGCACTGTGCTAGCTCTTGGTCACATTGAACAAGGCAGCTATTGGCCCTGCCTTACTAGAGCTCATGTCCTAACAAAGTAGCCAAAGCAGGCATTCAATGAATTATTAAGAGCTGTTTAATACAATGGTGTTAGGTACCACAACAGAGAATACAAGTGTTAAGACAGTATTGTAACACAGAATCTACCCCATGCTTTCTTCTGTTCTGAAAATCAACTCTTCACTACGCAGCTCTTTACTACAGAAACCCAATTACATCTGTGTGTGATCGATCCCCTTTCGCAGATATTCTGTGAAACTGCCAGGTTTCCAACTGTAGCTCTCTGATGTACCTCTGGGGAAGGTAAAGAAATTAAATTGGTTCAAAAGTAATTTTTCCACCAGCTGCTTTTATAGTACCTATTTTTCTCTGCACCTCTTTACTCTATTATAAATGGTCACAGCAGGAAATAAAAATTTGAGTATTTTGACTCTTCCCATTTATGAGAGGAAAAGATTGTTTTAATTCAGTAAGCTTATAAAAATTCTTACTCTCTGCAATGACACAATGGAAACGCAAGATAGAAAGACCTCTGTGTGCAATTCACATTCCAGCAAAACTGACCACACAGATTTTCCCTTTGAACACCCCTGCGTTCATATTTTTAATATGAATGCAGCAAGGAGTAAAGAACCCTCTAATAAGAGGGTTATACTAAGTTTAGGTTATAAATTTCTGTTCTTTTTTTTCTCTCCCAAAGAAAGCCTCGCTGTAACTAAAAATAACATCAACTTTATCGTAGTGAGCACTGGACACTTGCTAAATTGACCTCTGTTTTTCGGGATGATAAGAACTCTGTCAGACACAAGAACTGAGGTAAGAGAAGCAGAAGAGACAGCGACAGAAAAATCCACATTTACATTTCTGACATGACAACATACCTAGCCAGCTGAAAATATCAATCCTAGAGAAGACTGCTTGCAAGAAAATGGAGAGACCCTATTAGATACTGTTACAAATAAAAATAGCTATTCTATTAGCACTTACTCTGAAAGCCAGGTCCTAGTAAAGTAAAAACTATTTTACATGTAAATATTTACAGTACTGAGCAGATAAGAAAAAGGGGATAGAACTTAGGAGGAATCTGGCCTTAACGGCCTTCTGCAGTCAAAGTTGTAAAGTCCTAGCCTGGGTTCCCAAGAAGGCTCTGGAACCTCTTTCCACCCACAGTTCAAAAAGGTATGGCACAACTTTGCTTGAAAGCAGAGGAACATTCTAAGGCCCCTTACTGCTTTTTCCATTCCAGTTAAACCAAATCCTTTGATTCACCCAGTTATTCATACATTCCAACAAATGTGGATTCGATGTCTAGTGCTTACAGCCTTGATGGCCCATTAGCCAAGTCTCATCGCTTGGGCATTAATTACATTTAATGGAAAGGCACACTGAGAATAACATCGTGAATAAACAGAGCACTCTTGAGGAGAAAGGATACTGTACATAGGAACGGCTTTTCTGAGAAGTTTAAGCCAAGATGTGAAGATCCACAGGGAACAAAGACGCAAGGCTGAAACCCCTATTGCAGGCCTGGGCGACTGGATGGTTAGTGGGGTCACTTACTGGTAAGCGAACCGTGCAGGGAAATCAGAACGTGAAAGAGACTTACAAACAGCATGGACTGGGGGCTCGTTGTGTGATAGGCGCTTCTCAAAACCTTACAATCACTTTGAACGGCAGAAACTCTTTTCCCGGCTCACCAGCATAAAAGAGAGGTTGAGTGGGGTTTAAAGGAAAAAACAAAAAAAAAAAGACTTGCCCAGGGCCAAATAAAGAAACGTGGCTTTGGCATCAGGTTTACCTGTACTCGAAAGTCTGTCCTCTTTCCATTACACAGTTCCTTCCTGTGCCCACGTATTTCATCTGACAGCCCCAGCGCCAAGCGCTGCCGCTGAGGAAGCCTCTTTTCTGAGAAAGAACCCCAGGTAAGGCCTGGGTAAGTCACTCCCCTCCACAGCCTCCTCTGCCAGACCATCAGGCCCCCCTTTGAAGTTGTGTGCAAGAAAGGCAGGTACAAAGTTCATTCAAACGAAGACTATTAAAATATTACCGAAGACAACTGCATCCTTTCAGGAGGCTAAAAAGCAATCATAATTAATAACAGGTAAAAAGAGAGAAGGGAATTCTCGCTCCACCGTCCTCGGGAGCTCTCCCAAGGAAAAAGAAGCCTCCAGGGAGCGTGCGGCCCCGGGGCGGGGGCCTAGGATGCGCTCTCGCTCCCCGACCCCGAGCCCCC